TGGAAAAACGTTCCATGCTCATGGATTGGGAGAACCAACATTGTGAAGATGTCAATGCTACCTAGAGCAATCTACACATTCAATGCAATCCCCATCAAAATACCATCCACTTTTTTCAAAGAAATGGAACAAATAATCCTAAAATTTGTATGGAACCAGAAGAGACCCCGAATAGCCAGAGGAATCTTGAAAAAGAAAAGCAAAGCTGGCGGCATCATAATTCCGGACTTCCAGCTCTATTACAAAGCTGTCATCATCAAGACAGTATGGTACTGGCACAAAAACAGACACATAGATCAGTGGAACAGAATCGAGAGCCCAGAAATGGACCCTCAACTCTATGGTCAACTCATCTTTGACAAAGCAGGAAAGAATGTCCAATGGAAAAAAGACAGTCTCTTCAACAAATGGTGTTGGGAAAATTGGACAGCCACATGCAGAAGAATGAAACTGGACCATTTCCTTACAGCACATACAAAAATAGACTCCAAATGGTTGAAAGACCTAAACGTGAGACAGGAGTAAATCCAAATCCTAAAGGAGAACACAGGTAGCAACCTCTTTGACCTCAGCCGCAGCAACTTCTTCCTAGAAACATCACCAAAGGCACGGGAAGCCAGGGCAAAAATGAACTATTGGGATTTCATCAAGATAAAAAGCTTTTGCACAGCAAAAGAAACAGTCCACAAAACCAAAAGACAACTGACAGAATGGGAGAAAATATTTGCAAATGACATATCAGATAAAGGGCTAGTATCCAAAATCTCTAAAGAACTTATCAAACTCAACACCCAAAGAACAAATAATCCAATCAAGAAATGGGCAGAAGACATGAACAGACATTTTTCCAAAGAAGACATCCAAATGGCCAACAGGCACATGAAAAAGTGCTCAACATCGCTCGGCCTCAGGGAAATCCAAATCAAAACCTCCATGAGATACCACCTCACACCCGTCAGAATGGCTAAAATTAACAAGTCAGGGAACGACAGATGTTGGCGGGGATGTGGAGAAAGGGGAACCCTCCTACACTGTTGGTGGGAATGCAAGCTGGTGCAGCCACTCTGGAAAACAGTATGGAGGTTCCTCAAACAGTTGAAAATAGAGCTACCATTCGATCCAGCAATTGCACTAGTGGGTATTTACCCCAAAGATACAAATGTAGGGACCTGAAGGGGTACGTGCACCCCAATGTTTATAGTAGCAATGTCCACAATAGCCAAACTGTGGAAAGAGCCAAGATGTCCATCGACAGATGAATGGATAAAGAAGAGGTGGTATATATACACAATGGAATATTATGCAGCCATCAAAAGGAATGAGATCTTGCCATTTGCACCAACGTGGATGGAACTGGAAGGTGTTATGCTTAGTGAAATAAGTCAATCAGAGAAAGACATGATCATATGACCTCACTGATATGAGGAATTCTTAATCTCAGGAACAAACTGAGTGTTGCTGGAGTGGTGGGGGGTGGGAGGGATGGGGTGGCTGGGTGATAGACATTGGGGAGGGTATGTGCTACGGTGAGCGCTGTGAATTGTGTAAGAGTGTTGAATCACAGATCTGTACTTCTAAAACAAATAACACAACATATGTTAAGAAAAAAGAAAAAGAAGAAGATAGCAGGAGAGGAAGAATGAAGGGGAGTAAGTCAGAGGGGGAGACGAACCAGGAGAGATGATGGACTCTGAAAAACAAACTGAGGTTTCTAGAGGGGAGGAGGGTAGGGGGATGGGTTAGCCTGGGGATGGGTATTAAAGAGGGCACATTCTGCATGGAGCACTGGGTGTTATGAACAAACAATGAATCATGGAACACTACACCAAAACAAATGATGTAATATATAGTGATTAACATAACAATAAATAATTAAAAAAAGACTTTGGGGGTGTTGGGATGGAATAAATCTTTTGCATAAAAAAGGACATGAATTTTGGGGGCCAAGGGTTGGAATGCTATGGGATGAATTGTGTCCCACACCCAATTCATAAGTTGGAGTTCTAATCCCCCATGTGACTGTTTTTGGAGACAGGGCCTGGAGGTGGTAATTAAGGGTAAATGAAGTCCTAAGAGTGGAGCCTGAATCCCATAGCAGGTGTGGCCTTATAAGAAGAGGACAGAGAGAGAAGCCTCTCCACAGGCTAGGAAGAGTTTTCACGAGGAACTGAATGGCCAGCACCCGATCTTGCACTTCCAGCCTCCAAAACTGCAAGAGATAACCCTCTGCTGTTTAAGCCTCCCGTCTTTGACATGGCAGCCTGCTGTCCTGTCTTGTTCCGAACATTCCCCCCAATGCTCCCGGAACCGTTCCCAAGTTGGCAGCCTGTCTTGTCAATCAAAGTGTCAGCAGGTGTTACTTCAACCCAATCCCCAGACACCAGAAACACCCCCTCCCCCTTGATGCCACCCTGCAGTGTCTTTGTAACAAAAACCCCATAGCTTTGCCTCTTTTTCATTTGTTTTATTAGCATCAATATATACAAAGTGGAAAATGACTTAACTTCATTATTCTAGCTTAGAAAGTTTGTTTTGCTTTTTATTCTGTTTGGGGATAAAATGAAAGTGAAAACGTCCCAGGAGAAAGCCTACCTTTGAGGGTGCTGGACAACTCCATAATATCTGACCTCGCATGACTGCCCCGTCCCCCACCCCCATGACTTCTCAAGGGCATAGGAAAGTCATACCCTTCGGATTTACCCCCAAAGAAAGGTCATTTTTGCCCAAGGCTTATGCGCAGCCTTAATCTACCCATATATTTGCCAAGTCACTTCTGCTTATACAACCCATCCTAATTATGTTGCTGCTTTGCTTCCTGCTGGGCAGTTTTGCAGTTTCCAAAGCTGTCAGCCTGAGTTACTGGAGACTTTCCACGGAGCTGGCTTCAAAAAAATCATATTTAAAGCATGTCTATGGAACTAAGTAGGATGGCCCTCAAGTTGCAACCAGCATACTTATGTTGGCTAAATAATTCTACTCCTCCCCACCCCCCAAAAAAAAGCAAAAAGAGGAGCTCCAAGATGAAAGGGATCGAGTGTGTGCATTTTTAAAGCACAGGGTGGTAGCTGACAGATACAGCTTATATGAATTAGCATGTAATACACACCATCACATGCATTCTTTGAAGCTCGAAATCTTTGTAAACGTATTTCCCCACTGTTTTAAAAACAAAGAGTGGCTTGTCGGAAGGTTCAGTTGGTTCTTGAGTTGCTCAAGATTGTATCCTGTTCAAAAATATTTAATCCCAAGGGGTTTTGACATTGATCTTATAAAAACAGACACGTATGAGCTGAAATGAGATGCCCAGTACATTTTTGGCACGATTATTATGTTTTTACCTTTACATATTACAAATACACATTCAGATATCCTAAAAAGAAAAACAGACACCAACCTGTCTTTCCAATCACACTGTACATTGCCAAGCTCACACGATCCATCTGTGGTGAAAATAAACTTTTAAAACATGGTCATAGGCGTTGTACTACTAAGACAAAACTAAGACATCGGTATCCTGAAAAAAAAAAAATCAACACCTTTTCTATTCCTCCAACAGCCAATAAGGATTCTTGGGCCACTTTTAGGGAACAGGGTTAGAATAAAGATTTCATATTTTGTCAGTCTCGACAAAAGACAAATGTTTAGTTTGCACGTAACCATAGTATGTTCTAAAATTAAATATCATTAATAGAGTTCTTCCTTCCAGATGACCCAGGGTTAGGGTTAGAATAAGCATCAAATGGAAATAAAAGCAAAGACTGGATTCTGCCTTTTAAAAAAAAGGTTACATTATTTGCATCGTTGGACCTTCTCCAAACATGACATTACTTACTAATGGTCTGGAACAATTCTTCTCTGGTTGTTTTTTGTTTTTGTTTTTGTTTGCATAAAATGGGGTGGGTTTTGGGTGGCTGGAAAGCAGCCTTGAACTATCTCTTGCTGTGTGTCATGAATGCATGCCTTAAGGAGCATATGAGCAGGATTCTTTTCTGGCAGAAGGAAAGTATTGGGCCTCAGGTCCCCCAAAATTGAAGCCCAAGCTTCTATCCAGGAGGAGGCAATGTGTATGTCAAAACCAACTGCCCTACCCTTGCTCCAGAACTGCCTAGACAAGCTACCAAAATATGGACTATGTAACTATGTGGGTGAAGCTCCCCATGGGCATCTACAGTCACAGCTTGAGGGGGCCCCCGCTGAACAAAGGGATTGGTTCTGTCATCTGTAGCATAAATTCCCTTCCCTTTCATTATTGGTGGAGGGTCAGAGGAAAGAACGTTTTACTAACTTGATCCCCTCACTCAATGCCCCCCCTCACCCCCACACTCTCTCTGAATTCTCAAATTTCTCATCTACCCTGCAACATTTTCTGATTCTGCCAGCATCCAATGAGGCCAGGGTGGCAGACGAGAATGCTCATGGTCACACCTTTGCCGCCTTCGGAAGGATCATGGGAGGGAGGGGATGTGGCGAGACCTTCTAGAAGCTGAGAGCATTTGGAAGAGCGGACCCGGGATTTGTTTTGGAGCAGACCTGTTCAAGCTAAAGTCCGACCCAAGTTAATCCATCAAGAGATACCCTTTCCAACCTAATCCTGGGGCTTGGATTTGTCCTAAAAGCACCAAGGGCATGGATCCCAAATGCGTGCAATTTGATGCAGCAAGAGCTGCAGATGATGGCCCCTGCTGATGGGGAAACCCAGCTGCTTTTTTTTTCCCCCTTTGCTGCCATGTTGGTCATTTTGCAGGTCATCCGCCTGCCTTTGGAAAGGAGATTGTCACATGGATTTGGCCGCAGCTGCGACCCCTCCAAACACACCTATTTCGATTTTAAATATAATAAATACAGCAAAGAAAACAGTGAATCTTCAATAAAGAGTCTAAAGAAAAGACGGACAACATTCTGGGGTTTCGATCAAATGCCACGTGGTCTCTGGATGAATTTCTCAAGGAGGTTGTAGTTGAGTTCTGATCTGTGAGCTCCCTTCTCAGGAGCAGCTCTCCTTAAATGGAAACTTCATACTCCCTGGTTTCCTGCAAGAGAGAGAAGCACAGATTGGGTACAAACCATTGGGTGGTGGAGCCACAGGCAGAGCGTGCCTTGAGAGCCTTTAGTCCTAGCCGAGGAGGTGCAGACTGTGGAGAGCAGAGCTGAGTCACCCGACCAACAACCCGCCCATCCCAGATGTGTGAGTGAGTGCAGCTGAGCCAGGACAACCACCCAGCTGCAACAAGCTGAAAACACTGCCCTGCAGACTGATGAGCAAATTAACATCGCTTGCTTTGAGCGACCGAGTTTTGGGATTATTTGTTACTCAGCTTTATCATAGTGCTGGGTAGCTGATACACTATACTAATAAGTATTAGTTTCTGAAGTGCTCTTTTTTTTTTTTAAATCAGCTTGACCTTCTTTTCGGATTTGGAAACAAGGTATATAGAATGTAAAATAACATACGACCTCTTCTTAGCAGTTCCATATCGAAAATGACTACAACACGTGGGTGGCAACTCCTTCAATTTCTCCAATATTTGTCAAGTGTGTGTAATATATTCCAGGCCTTCAAGGCAGAGGAGCTGGGAGATATAAGAAGTCAGAGGCTTGGCCCCAGAAGAGGTCATTGCCATATGCTTTCATGGAGGTCTACTGTTCCTGCTGGGTCAACACAGATAAGCAAGCATATCTATGGTAGATGGGAGTATGGTGGGAAGACTCAAAGGTGGGCCCCCTGCTCCTCACCTCCTAGTGGTCACATTCTTGCATGATCCCCTTTCCTAAGTGTGGGCAGGACCTGTGATTTGCTTCTAACTCGTAGAATACAACTAAGGTGCTAGGATGTCTTGGCCATGCATCATGGTGCCCTGCAAATTTTCCATGGTCCCTAAAAATGATGATTTGTTATAATCAAGATACCCATTGGCCTATTTGATTATTTGAGGTTCAAGGGAGGCGGGATAATATAATGATTAATGGCATCAGTCTGAATTTGTATCTTGGCTCCAAGCCATGCTTTTGGCTGTGTGCAACCTTGGCCAAATCATTTGTTTGTCTCTCTGACTCTCAGTATCATCATCAGTCCATCAGAGGTAACTGCATGGTATACAACAGAGTTGCAGGGATTTGGGCAGCTTATGCATTCAAGGTGCCCGGCTCATGGTACATATTCTTCTTATTATTATTACTGAGTTCTGTCTCCTTTGCAAGACTATAAGCTCATTAATGGCTGGACCAGGTCTATTTGGTTTACAACTGTGTCCCTAGTACCCAATACAAAGTCTGCCACCCAAACGAGAAGAGAGACCAACTCACCCCTGTCTCATAAATGGGGTTGTCAAACTCGGTTTCCACGGTGATCTGGCTGTAGGGGTGGGAGTACATCAGGGGCAGGCGGAGGTTGGAGTAATAGCGACATCTGGAAAAGGGACAGCGAAGGAGATAGGAGTTACAATACCAGAGGAGGACAGCTAGCTGGGGCCCCTTCCCAGGCATGGGCACCTCCGCAAATGCCAAGAAGGTGTGCAGAAACAGCCTCTTGCAGTGAGAATCCAAGTGGGTGAATGCCGAAAACATAACTGCTCTCAACTTCTAAGTGGGTGACTGACAGCTTAAGCCTCAGTACCTCCCCTTCCTGGGGAGGGGGGGAGCTCAGCTGGTTTTCACCCGTAAGGTGATTTGAGCCCCTCTTTCACAAAGAGCGATAACAGCAATAATCAGCATTTACTGAGCACCAACTATATACCATGTTGCCTCAAAACAACCTTCTCTGACTACCTATTTAAAAAGTGGTTCTTCTGTTACCACACCCTATCTCTTTCCTTCATTGTGCTCATCACAATGTGTTGTGCTATAATTTGTGTATTTCTGTGTATTACACTGTTCGTGTAACACAGTGTCATAATTTGTGTATTTCTCCTCTCCCCCTTCAACACTGTGGGCTCCACAAAAACAGAAAAAAAAAATGATATTGGGCAGACGCCTGCCTCAGGGCCTTGGCACATACTGTGTCTGTGCCTGGAATCCTCCTCTTCCAGATATTTGCATAGGTTACTTGTTATTGCTTTCAAGTCCTTACTCAAATGTCGTGTCTCAGTGGGGACTCCTCTTCTAGAGTGCAATCACCACCCCTACTCCAGCTCCCTTTTGCTCCCTAATGTACACCCTTGACCTTTGAACAACACAGGTCTGAACTGCACTGTTGACTTATATGTGGAATTTTTGATAAATATAGCATGGTCCTGCAAGTGTATCTTCTCTTCCTTATGATTTTTTTCTTTTTTCTTTTTTTTTTAAAAGATTTTATTTATTTATTAGAGAGGGAGAGAGCACAAGTGGGGGGTGAGGGGCAGAGGGAGGGAGAAGCAGGCCCCCCCTTTATGATTTTCTTCATAACATTTTCTTTTCTCTAGTTTACTTCATTGTAAGAATACGGTATTAGGGATGCCTAGGTGGCTCAGTCTGTCGAGTGTCCAGCTCTTTATTTCAACTCAGGTCATGATCTCAGGGTCAGGAGATCCAGCCTCATGTCAGGTTCTGCACTGGGCATGGGGCCTGCTGGAGACTCTCCCTCTTCCTCTCTTTCTGCTTTGCCCCCAACCCCCATGCTCACACTCTCTCTCTCAAAAAAAAAAAAAAAGAATATGGTATATATTACACATAACATACGAAACACATGTTAATCGACTGTTTATGTTATCAGTAAAGCTTCTGGTCTACAGTAGGCTATCGGTAGTTAAGTTTTCAGGGAGTCAAAAGTTATATATGCAGATTTTCGATGCACAGGGTGTCGGCGCCCCTCACCATCCTCACATTGTTCAAGGGTAAACCGTATTTACTTATTATACTTCATTTGCTGTCTATCTTCCTCCCATTAGAAGCTGGGCCCCACATCTCAAAGATCTCCTTCGGTTTTGTGCACAGGGATGTTCCTAGAACTGTTCCCCACCCCCCAAACTGCCTGGCACATAGTAGGTGCTCAATAGTTGTGAATTTGAATGAATTAGTGAATATCCTAGCCATGGCTAAATACCTTCCTTCCTCATTGCAGGCAAGTTCTATGATCCCCAACACACAGGACAATGTCTGGTATGTAGTAGATTGTCGACACATGTTTGTGGAGTAAGTGAACGAATGAATGAGTGCATGATGGGATCGATGTCAGTGTGTCTATCTCTCCCACTAAACCACAGCTCCTTGAGCTCAGGGGTAGTGCCTGCTTTTTTGCTGCTGCATGCTCAGCCCTCCTGCCTCGGATGGGGTGGGAGGCGCTCAGTAGGAGTATTTCTCCCAGCGCTGAGTTGAATCATGTCATCTCCAAGCTCCCAGATGCCACCGACCCCAAGCTACAGATGGAGACCCTGTCCTCCAGTGCGCTGGTCATTGAGCGGATGGCAGTGCCCCACGCCCTGCCCCGAAGCCCCCTACCTGGTGATGTAAATGTAGGCTCCTCCCAGCAGTAAGGAGATGATGAGGACTGGGATGAAGATAGCCAGTGCCATATTTCCCCCTTCCAGCGATGTCTCGGCTGCTGCTTCTGCTACTAAACACATAAGCCAGTGAAGCCCTCCGGTCTCACGCCCTCAACCTGCACGGGCAGGGTTCCCAGGTGGGCACCTGCCTTCCCAGTTCTGCACTCATTGAAAGCGCTGACATCGCAGAGCCTTAGCCGTTAGACCACCATCCCCAGAGGGGAGAAGAGGCAGAGATTAGAGATAATGGGACTGGTTCTTTGCAACAGAGCCCAGACCCATCCTTGGGTGGGGTGGTCATGGGGCTACCAAGAATGACACTCTTTTAACCTGTGGTCATGCCATGCCCATTTTTTTTGGGGGGGGGGAGTTGGCTGCAGTTGAAATCTGGTTAAAATCCACTTCAAGGAGAGACTTGGAGAAAATCTCATATGTGCTAACTGGGAAGGCAGATTTGCTTGACATTCCATGGAAAAGGCGTAACTCCTTGCACCCAGACTGACAGGTGCCTCCCAGAGCTGCCCTATCAGACCCTCCAGGAGGGGGCGCTGGGCAGCTGGGCCTGTTCTCAGTACTGCACCCCGCCCGGCATGACACCCCAACTGTGAAGACCCAGTTTTGATTCTCAGAGGCCACGGTTGCACCCTCTTGGCCTCACCTGGAGCCCCCCCACCCCACTACCTCCCACTGGTTTGTGGAAATTGTAAGAACCACAAAAGCTGTTGTGGGGGCCAGGGGCGTGTTCTCAGCACAGCCTGAAGGGAGACCCTGCATCTCCTCCGGACACCCGCACTCGGGTTTTCTTTGCCATTTCTCCACGGCCACGGCCCACAGAACTCGGCTGTAGGCCAATCTATAATCCATTAACCGCCACTCTATGAAGTCTGAAAAATCGATGCTAACACCCACGACAAATGCATGAGCACAAAACATTACAATGGCTCTCATCATCTCTGAGCAACCCAGGCCTTTAAGACGTTCCCATGGTTCACTGGTTGCTGAAAGGCAACAAAGGGATGGCCTGACGTGACAGACACTAACACCCCGAAATGCTCTCCCTTTTCCCTGCAGAATGACTCATACACATGCTCCACCTCTGCACTTATGCTTGTGCCCGGCTATGCCTGTTGGGATTAAAATGTCATCTGTATGGGGCGCCTGGGTGGCTCAGTCATTAAGCGTCTGCCTTCGGCTCAGGTCATGATCCCCGGGTCCTGGGATCGAGCCCTGCATTGGGTTCCCCGATCGGCGGGAAGCCTGCTTCTCCCTCTCCCCCTCCCCCTGCTTGTGTTCCCTCTCTCACTGTCCCTCTCTCTCTCTCTGTCAAGTAAATAAATAAAATCTTAAAAAAAAACCTCATCTGTTGCAAAGAAGAGCAACTAATGACACGTAGTTCGCATGGCCCCACCTTCTGAGTGAATGATTTATTGTCAGAAAGCTAAATGGCTCCAAAAATGATAATAAAAACTCCTTAATTGGTTATCACTTTTCAAAAATAAAAACGAAACTATATATATCTTATGACACCACAGCCCCAGTGAGTGGTTTGGTACCCAAGTGAATGGAGGTTATACAGAATATAGAATGTTTTATGTATGGGAGGGGTTGAAAGGGAAGGGAACCACAAAATAAAAACCCAAACAAAATCCTGGCTAGTGTTTACTGTCCATTCCCCATTAATAAATCTCACTTGGTAATTCTTAATAGGAGGAGAATAGAAAACAAGGAGGATACAGGGACAGGTAACTTGGGGGAAATGGACCACAGAGCATCTCCCAGGCAGACAGGGGCAGGCTCAGCATGGAAGGTGAGGCATCACTGGATTTACGTCCCCCAAATGGCACCATGTGGATGAAAAGTCATACAGCTGGGTTGTGCCTTTCTCAGGCATGTGGACCCTCAGATTTTCTTACCTCAAGAACAGAATTGGTGACAAATCCCTTTCAGGTCATAGTTAGGACCCTAGGTTGCAAATTCAATGGTTTGTTTCTTTTACAATGTTTTATTTTGAAATTATCTTCAGCAGTGAAGAGATGGAAATTCTGCTTATTTTTTAAAGCACCTAGAGAAGGGACAAGCAAGGACCTGCCCTTGTTTTCTGCTATTAGCTTGATTTATTGGATTTTTTTTTCATTATGGAACTCACCTTCTAATGCATGTTCAAAGCTGTCTTGATTAACTGAAAGGGAAATTGGAAGCATTGGTTAATGTCGAGTTAATTCACTCTGCATGAAATGAAGCCAAAAAATTAAGAGCAAAAACCTGTGCCATGCTTGGCTGAAGTTAGTGATCAGCTTTGATTTATCTTGGGCTCCTGGAACTAGTGGAAGTGGCCTGGACACATTCCTTTCCTAGCTTCCTGAGAGATCATGACATACGTATGAAAGAAACGAGGACCATAGTAGTCCCTGTGATTAATTACTGAACACTCATGGTATGTCCGATACTGTGCCAAGAGCTTTCTGTATGTATCACTTATGCCCACAACAATCTCACTAGGTGGATACTATCATCATCCCCATTTTACAGATGAACAAACAGAGGTTCAGAGAAGTGAAGCAATTTCTCCGATCTCACACAGCTTCTGAGGGATGAAGGCAGTCTTTAAACCCAGACTGCTTGTCTTTCCCCAGCTTCTGCTCTTAATTACGTAGTTCTGCTTATTTTCATTGTTCCCTATGTAGGTCAAAGGTTGACGAACAGTGAGGCTCAAGATAAAGCCCCACTTCCAAAATCCAGCCAGAGCTGAAACTGTTCTCCTGCTTTGAAATACGTGTTTATATGAACCTTTCCGGCTTTACTTCTATTCCATATTTATTTGACCATTATTTGTATTCCCTATAAAACAATTTTCATTCACTGCCACAGACTAAAACTCTCTGGAATTCATTCATTTCCCCGTATTCCCTGTAAAACTTCTCTGGAAGTTCAAGATGATGGGGACTGGCATTCCCAGGCTTTGGCACCAAAGACATCATGGTAGGTGAGCACAAAAATATACCCATGTGGAATGGGTTTCTAAGAAGCAAAACCCCAGAGTGAAGGGCTTAGATAAACAGACTGCATTATAAGGGGGTGCCAGGGGATGGCCACCAAAGGCCCAGCCGAATGCACGTCCTAATACTGAGACTTCTTAATTTGTGCCTCGGTCAAAGTCACTCTTTGACATTGGTCATTACCATGTGATGCCAACAGAACCAGTTGAAAAGCTAGCTTACTAACTAACTAACTACAGGTTATCTCTGGAGCTATGGCATCAGGAAAATGGAAAGGATGAGATAGATACTTACTGCCCAAGACATGAGCTGGACTTGGGTTGAGTGTCTGGGAATGCACGAACTCCTACTGCATCTCAGAGCAGAAGGAGACTTTGAACTTGTGTCCCTGGGAGGGTGGTCAATGGCTCCCTGGGGCACAAGTTAAAATGCAACCTCCAGGGCCCCACCTTTTCCTTTTATTTCACGCAAAGAGAAACCGAGGTCAGGGAGGGAGGGTGGCTTGCCCAAGGTCACGCAGGTGGCCCACAGCCCAACCAGGCTGAATCCCAGGGCCTCCGAGTCCCCATCAGGTGGCCTTACATTGACCCTCAGTCACTTAGCCAACTCCAGAACACAAAGCCATGCACCCCACTTTTTTTGGGAAGAGGAGGTGATTTGTCACATCCTTACAGAGTCGTGGGGTCTCAGGAGTGGAAGTGGAAGGGAGAGAAAGATGGAAGCCTCCCCTAAGATCCTTTCCTGCCAGAAACTCTGTCATGCCTGATGAAGAAAGTGAGGGGCAGGGGGCCACTCACTTGCTGGGCCTTCAACGGCTCACCTATCTTAGAGCATAGAAGTTTCAGGAATGCAAAACCAAGCACCTTTTATCTTGTGTTTTTGATCATGTATTTTCAGATGGCAGTTCCATCTTCCCATCAGATTGGCAACATAAAAAAACCTGATAACATCTAGTGCTGGCGAGCATGTGGGGAAAAGGACATTATCACACATTATTAGAGGGGGAGCATGAATTACTACAGTTGCAGAAAAGAATCTGGCAAAACCCACAAAATCTCAGCATCCATAGATCTCGGCCCACACCATCAATCGCCCTTGGAGGAATCTGTCATACCCCATGAGAAACGTCAGCACCCAAAGACTCATGGGCAAGGCCATTTCTGAGCAAAAGGAGACAAAGCAAACAAGAAACCAGAAAAGAACTGGTAGATCCATGCACAGAGGAAGGAGCAGATGCATTAGGAGACATCAGTGTGCAATGGCCCCATGGCAATTAAAAAGCTAAGACAGAGCGCCATTTTTCTTTTTTCCAACGTGACAGATGTGTGTGATAAATGGGGGAAAGCAAAACACAAAATACGTATGGTGTGAGGTGTTTTTTTACTTGGCAACAAACGAATACTCCCTGCCTCTCTCTTTGCAGTGTGTCTACTTGTGTTAAGTCCAGGGAACTGGGGAGACTGGACACTCATGGGTGATCCAGACTGGCTTCCCAGGGACGAATGGAAGGGATGGAGAAAGGAAGGGAAAAGGAGACAATGCTTCGTTGGCAACTTTGGTTTCTTCCATTTCTTGCATGAGATACTTTTGTAGCGAATCCGAAAAGGAACATAAATAATCAGGGGGCAGATCACATATAGAGTCAAAAATGGCCCTTCCGGGGTATCCTTACTTAGATTTCTTAAAAACAACCCCTATTAATTTTCCTCCACGCACAACACGTACCAACAACACCAGATCAACTTCTATGAACGTCCATGTAGCAGTTAGAAGGTTTACAGGCAATCTTGCCCCCGGGGGAAAACATCCCAATGTTTGAACTCTACAGAGTGGACTTCCTGTGCTATCGAAAACAAATTCAAACACAGGGCTGGGCTTCGTCAAAAATGATGGCAGGGAAGAGGAGGGAGGCAGTTGTCTTAAATCCCAGTGGCCGGGGACGCCTGGGTGCCTCAGTCGTTGGGCGTCTGCCTTCGGCTCAGGTCATGATCCCAGGGTCCTGGGATCGAGCCCCGCATCAGGCTCCCTGCTCAGCGGGAAGCCTGCTTCTCCCTCTCCCACTCCCCCTGCTTGTGTTCCCTCTCTCACTGTATCTCTCTCTGTCAAATAAACAAATAAATAAATAATCTTAAAAAAAAATCCCAGTGGCCAATTTCTTATTTTTCTCTGCATTTCAACAGGATCTCTTGCCCTTTTATTAAGAACTGCTTCTATAAGGTCTTGGCTCTCACAGGATAGGCTCCTGCTTGATTCCAGGTGAGAATATGCAGCCCCTCTATGCCAGTGTTTCTCACACTTGCCTGATGATCAGACTCACAGCTGGTGCTAGTGACCCTGGTTCCCTAGCTCCTGCCCTAGACCCTGTGAATCAGCATCTCCCCTGCAGGGGCCCAGAAGTCGGTTTATATTTGCACCCCACGTTTAGAAACCACTGCTTTAAGTGATTCTCAAATTCAAAGTGCATTTGAGCAACCCAGAGCTTGTTAAAATGCTTATTTCAGGGTCCTGCCCCTCAGTGATTCTAGTTTTGTAGATATGGGGTAGTAGACTCAAGAATTTGTTTCTCATAAGCAGTCTGGGTGATTCGAATGCTGAAGCGACTGGCAGGTTGGAAGCTATAGCCTAACAGCCTTAAAGTCCACCCTAACAGCCTTAAAGTCCACCCTAACAGCCTTAAAGTCCACCCTAACAGCCTTAAAGTCCACTCTAACAGCCTTAAAGTCCACCCTAAAGGCAGCTCACTGGGAAAGAGGCAGGGAATTTACAATCAGGAGATGTGGGTTCAAATCCTGGATTTGTCTCATAATAGCTGTGTGGTTTTGGACACGTCACCTAACGTCTCTGAGCCTGTCCTTTTGTAACCATACAATGGGTAAGATGCCTCATCTATCCTAGAGTGTGGTCTTGAGGTTTAAATGAAGCGATTCAAGAAAAAAATCTTTAAAAAAATAGGTAAATTTCACATAACATAAAATTAATCATTTTAAAGTGTACCATTTGGTGGCATTTAGCACATTCACGATGTTGGGCAGCCACCACTTCTATCTAGTTCTAGAACATTTTCATCACCCCTAAAAGGAAACTTTCTACCAACTAAGTAGTTACTCTTCTCTCTCCACCCCAGCCCTGAGAGCCACCAATCTGTCTCCCGTCTCTATGGGTTTACCAATTTGGGATATTTCACATAAATGGAATCATAGGATATGTGATCTTTTGTGTCCAGCTTCTTTCCCTTAGCATCGTGTTTTCAAGATCCATTCAGGCTGTGGCAGGTGTCAGCACTCCATTCCTTTTCATGGCTGAATAATATTCCAGCATAGCTCGGACCATATTTTATTTATTCATTCTCCAGTTGATGGACATTTGGGTAGTTCCCATCTTTTGTGAGCAATGCTGCTATGAATATTCATGTACATATGAATATTCATGTACAAGTGCTGCTGTGAGTACTTGTTTGCAATTAATTTGTGCATCTACCTAGGAGTAAAAATGCTGGTTGGAAAACATTTGTAAGGCTTAAGGTTGAAGTTCATGATAACATTTGGGGATCCATTGAAGTTATGGGTTCCCAAGTAGAAACGTTAAACTCCATGATGCCTCCGTCCCTCGTGGGGAGAGAATTCAGAACTTTCTGCCTCATTCTCAAAGGGGTATTAATGCCATAAAAGTCCAAGATCTATTAGCCTAAAGCATCGGATATTGTTATTAATTGCATGCCTCAAAGACCCAGATAAATAGACCCAAATCTCACTGGCTATGTCGAAACTTAATTTCAGTGATGAAGGTGTCACTGATTTTATTTTATTTTATACTTCATTTTATTTTATTACATCATGTTAGTCACCATATAGTACATCATTAGTTTTTGATGTAGTGTTCCATGATTTATTGTTTGCGTATAACACCCAGTGCTGCATGCAATACTTGCCCTCCTTAATACCCATCACCGGGCTAACCCATCCTCCCACCCTCCTCCCCTCTAACACCCTCAGATCACTGATTTTAAAACACGTTTTCCCTCTTCAGCATCTCTGGGATGGGGGCGTGTTAATCCGCCGCCACCAGGTGGCGCTCACGATGGCTCAGTGCGCGCCATGGTCCAGCGCACCATCATCAGCGTTTGGAGAGGGTGTGAGCGGCAGGGGAGACCACCCCAGAGGCAACAGGGGAGCCCTCGTAACCCCTGGGAACCAAGTGGTTGTGAAAACGGGGTGCAGGAGGCAGGGAATGTTTAAGCCATGTAACCGAAGCAGGAGTCCAAAGCAGAATGGCTCTCCGTTATGATAAAAATCGAAGCTCGCAACAGAGCTTTTAGTAAGTAGAAATAAAAGTGCTAAGCCGGGAGAAGGCATTGTGCCATCGTTTAATTGGCAGCAATTTTTTTTCTTTCTCAGTGGTGCAGAAAATAATGGCGGTATCTTAGATGTCATGAAATACAGTAGCTGGACTTTTTAGAGCAAATTGAGAATCATAACAAGAAGCCAGACCTGACATCTCCCGGTCCCCATCCCCAGAGGGTGAGAAGGTTTCTTTACCTTTGCAAACGGGCAGGGGCCCGTTCCAGTGGGATGGCTGTCCCAGGATGCATCGAATGGTCACTTCGCCCATGAGCTCAAAGCCTTCGTAGCACATGAAGGTGAGGGACTCTCCTGGCAGGTAGAGCCGCTTATACAGGATTTGGTAACCGTTTTCGGGCAAGCCAGGGTTGTCACACGCCAGGGACTCTTCCGCTGAAATACAAGCCCAAAGCAGCTCTGATGAGATCACGCAAATCCTGGGGGACTCCCACTCACGGCCTGTCCGATCTGGCTTTGGCCAGCCTCGCCAGGACCATCTCTCTGCGTTCTCCTCACCTCCAACCCAGACTCACCTCCCTGTCTCCCACCTCCGCCTGCACATTATGCACGGGCACCATCAAATGTCCCAGGATGTGGAATCTGGCTTAAAATCTAGGTTCTACTACATACTCGCTGTGTGACCTCCAGCAAGGGCCACAACCTCTCTGAGCCTCGGTTTTCCTCATCAGTAAAATATGAATAATAGTGGTATCTGTCTCATAAGGATTTGGAAGATTAAATAAGATCATGAATATAAGGTGTTTAGCATGTTCTTGGCAGGTTGTAGGTGCTCAGTCAATGATGGATGGCCGTGTTGTCAAATTATGAAATATTCTTCTTGCTCCTCACCTTACACCTTACCTGCCCAGCCAACCTGGTTAAGTCTGGTCTTTCAGTACTCAGTCCTCATTTCTCTGCCTCCAAGGAGCCTTCCATGGTGCCCTCCACCCCTAATAGAATCACTAATCTTCCTAGTTCTTCCTCCATGCGAGCACTGAACACACTGCATTGTATTTATCATTTAATATCTGTTTTCCTTGTTGGAGATGAACCTGTTAGGGCCTGCTCTATAAGGACTATCATATATGATCCTAAATTATACAGTAGGAGCATCATAAATGATACCTGGCAGCTTAAGACATACTGGAGAGTTGAATCCATCCCTGGTTTAACCTATTCCAGGCTCTGGACTCCAACTTCCCTGCCTGTTACATAAATGGACTGGACCAAGACCCCATCCTTAGCTGAAATGTGGCTGGGCAATGACATCCCCATTCCAATGATGTACCCACACTTTGAAATAAGATCATCTAAAGCAGGTTTTCTCAACCTAGATGCTACTGACATTTTGGGCTGGGTAATTCCCTGTGGTGGGGCCATCCTGCAACATCCACGTTGCAGGACATGGAGCCACATCCCTGACCTCTACCCACTATTTCCTTGGGACAACCAAACAGGTCTCTAGGAATTGCCATTGACAAATGTCTCCCAGGAGCAATGTCTCCCCTGCTTGAGAATCACTGATCCCTTGGCTCTCAAACAATTCCGTGAGAACTCATCCTGTTCTTTCTCAGGAGTACATCTGAGTTGGACTGGCGGTCTTAGAAACGATCACAAACCTACCCTTGTTTCTGTTCTCCTCCCATTTCTCCCCTCTCCTTAACTATAGGGGAAAATGTACATTTTTTGGGAGCACATTTGAACAAAATGTCAAAATCAGCTTCTCCAGGTATTGCTATGAATGGTTTGTAAGATACCCCACAAATAAAGAAGCGCTGAAACTCTGTGGTCATTAGCAACTGGTGGTACCGAGGCACTCACTGTATGCCACACACGTTATGAGCTTCTATATTTATGGCTGGAACCATCATCCTTTTTGATGAGGATGCCGGTTTGTTCAAAGTCACCCAGCCAGCAAGTGGCAGACGCGCTGGGTTTGAAATCCGGTGCGTTTAATGGCTCTGGGGTAGTGGCCTGGGGTGGGGAGGCCCTTCATGTGCCAAATCCCCTGGGCTTTCATGAATTCCTCTGAGCTATTGCTTTCTCAGAGACAGAAATTTCTAAATGAAAATGGGGCACCCAGCTGGAAGCCGGCATGGGAGCCAAGGTGAGGCCGCTGGGGATGACACATCATTGGAAACTTTTATTATGGCCACGGTCTGGCCATGTGGGCTCTGCCCCAGTCAGGAGATCGCCGTGTCTCATTTGTGGTGTTCTGAGGGCAGGGTGGTGCAGAGCCAGGACCTCCTGGGAATCCCTAAATGTTTCCCTAGGGAGCCACCCATAAAACCCTTGCTGAATTTGTAGGCTCGTCATTACTTTTGGTGGTGCGGTTTATATCTTTGGGATGGGAGCCTCAGGAGTCAGGTACCATCAAAGAAGGGAAGTCGAAACAATGACCGCATTTAGTACTGCCAACAACATCAATGGTAGTAAGACTAGCAAGTACTGTCATTTCTCAAGCCTGCAAAAACCCATTGGATATAATCCTGGCAAGTGAGTTATGTATTCGGTTCTACAAAGAGATAAAGAGATCATTTCAACAAGCTGCCGCAAGTGCTGTGATCAATGTAACTGTAGGAGCCATGGCAGCTTACAGGAAGAGAAACATGACCTAGCCTGGGCAGTCAGGGTGGCCTTCCTGGAGGAGGAGATGCTGGAGATTCATTGTTATTTCCCTCATAGACTTGGCTCTCCTCCTCCCAACTCCAACAGAACCCGGGCTCCCTGAGAATGTGGATCATGTCTGTTTAGACACTGCTGTATTTTTAGGGCCTTTGCATCACAGTTCCCAAACTGTGCACCGAGGTACCCTGGGGTGCCACCATGAACAGCACCCCTGTGAGATTTTTCAAAAATTTGAGGAGACAAAGGGACATCTCCCAGACCCATGTGAATGGTGCCCACTTTAGACAGAGCTACATTTCTTTTGATGATGCCCTGTCTTTGCAAAGCTGGGTTTTTTGCAGGGGTTACACTAAAAAGCAAGAGCTCTGATAAAATCGGTGTGGAATGGAATGAAGGTGGCAGAGTCCAGTCTGACACCAAATCTGAGAAATTTGGTGGAGCCCAAGAGGCACCCACACCCCTGTAGCTGTGATTAATTTAAGAATGCATTAAAAATCACAGGGTACCTGGGGACTCAGTCGGTTAAGCGTCCGACTCTTGATTTCAGCTCAGGTCATGATCTCGAGGTCATGGGATTGAGCCCCACATTGGGCTCCCTGCTCAGTGCGGAGTCTGCTTGAGATTCTCTCCCTCTGCCCCTCCCCTCCCCCTGCTCTCTCTCTCTCTCTCTCAAATAAATAAAATCTTGAAAAAGCACAATCAAAATCAAATCTTATAATACGTGCATTACTTTTTCAACTGGCTACTAAGTTGTCAGGATATAGCTACTTATTAAGTTGGTTGGACCTAACTACTTAACAAATGGCACTGTTAGGTATTTTGGTCTAGGATATTTACCAAAAAAATTTCTGAGACGCCAAGGGTACCGTGAATTGAGAAAGTCTGGACATGCCTGTGCCTGCATTTGGAGGCACTTTTTGAATAATCGCTTGAGTTGCTTCCAACTGCCCTGACTGGCAGGGAGTATCATTCCCTTTTCACAGCTGAGGGCTTTGAGGCCCAGAGAGGGCAAGCTACTTGCCCAAATTCACCCAGCAGAGCTGGGCAGGAGGTGTGTTTGGCTATGAATTCCAGACACTTCCTTGCTTCCATGCTTGACCTGTCAGTTCCTGAAGGAGTCAAAAAAAATGCTTTGGAGTCCCAGCTGGACCAAACAATGGCCTTGAGTGGGTCACTGTGAACAGAAGCTGTAGACATCCAGAGCTTTTACAACTGGCTCTGTCCGCTTCATGAGCTTGTTGGTGGAAGATCTTTGTCCAGAGTAAAGCACCAGAGCTTTGCCCAGAAGCTGGGACTGCAGAGTGATAAGGTGGGAAAACACTGCTTTTGGGCTTAAGTCAGGCTTCAGCTGGAATCCTGGGTTCTCCCCTTCCCTGCTGTGTGACCTCAGGAAAGCCGCTTGCCCCCTCTGGGCCTCCTTTGCCTGCTTTCAAGTGAACACAGGTACCGCCCATACAGTTTCATGAGTGTTCAATGTACTAATGCTGGGGAAGGGTTTGGCACGGTGAAAGAGCACATCCAGTGGGGCATTTCCCCCTGTTCAGCAGAGGAAACATTTTAAAGCTATAGCTGCCCAATAAACTCATCCTTAGAAACACCGTCAGAACCTGGATACAGCCTGCCTCTCCCTCTGCCCACGCCCCCCAACGCCTCGCATCTCCTGCCAGCCCGTAACGAGACCTGGAAGTGCACGCCAGGTGCCTCTTTGGGCTTCTGGGAGGATCGTATGTCTCCTGACACCCAGCCTGGCTTGTGACTCATTAGTGCGGGTGTCAGGGAAGCTGTCACAACTGAGATTCCACGGTAAGGCGGCCCGGAAGGGAGGGTGGGAGGGAGGGAGGCAGGCTTGCGTCTCCCAAACCCAGAAGCCAGTGCAACCCAGAGGTTCTTCGGAGGCTGTGCCTCATTAGTGAAGCGGCGTTTCTTTCTTCCTTCCTTTCTTTCTTTTTCTTTTTTAAATGATACCTCCACCTCTCAGTACTTTTAAATAAGCTTTTATTTTTAGCTTCTCATCTTTGGGTCTCTGCAGCCTGACTGGCTCAAGCAGCTTCTGATCACCCTGGAGGAAATGGGAACAGAATGGGGGTTCTGGGCTGCCTTAGCGAAGTGCACCTGACCTGGGTGAGGGGGCGGGGCACTTCGAACAACGGACGTGCACTATCTCACAGCTCTGGAGGCTGGGGTTCCCAGGTCAAGGTGGGCCACATTCCCACTGAAGTCTGGGGAGAAGGATCCATCCTTGCTTCCTCCCAGCTTCCAGTGGTAGCTGGCAATTCTTGGTGTTCCTAGACTTGCAGGCACAGAATGGTGTTCTCCCTGGGTCTCTGTGTTCAAATTTCCCTCTTCTTATGAGGACACCTGTCACTGGATTGGCACATGTCCTAATCCTGTAGGGCTTTACCTTAACTTGATTACATCTGCAAAGACGCCTCGTTCCAAAAGAGTTCCCAGTTACGGTACTGGGGTTAGGATTTCAGCATCTCCTTTCGGGAGACACAAGTCTCCCTATAATGCACGGTGGACTTGGCCCAAAGGTCTGGGGACTGGGAAGGGATGTGCTTGTGGGTGAGGGGTTAGGGCCATAGGCTGCAGTTCCGCCGGGACATCCCTGCCTGGGTTTGTCCCCAGTCACCCACGGCGAAATATATCGGGGCAAGGCTGGTGGGAGGGGCCGGGGGCTCCAAGACTGGAATCCCAGCTCTGCTCATGAAAAGGTGTTGTGACCTTAATCACATGTCCCTGTGAGTCTCAGCAGCCTTTAAACACACATGTGCACGCACACTTACATATGTATAGAGTGTATGCATACACATGCCTACACAGTCACACACATATATAATCTGTTTAGCAATGTGTTTTATTTGTTTACTTATTTATGGGGGAAAGATTTATTTATTTATTTGAGAAAGGGAGAGCATGAGTTGGGGGAAGGGCAGAGGGAGTGGGAGAGGGAGTAACAGGTCCCCCGTCGAGCAGGGAGCCCGATGCGGGGCTCGATCCCAGGACCCCAGGATCATGACCGGAGCCGAAGGCAGACGCTTAACCAACTGAGCCACCCAGGCGCCCCAGCAATGTGTTTTACACATTCAATAAACTGTAACTATTGTTATCTCTTATCACCTCTGAGCTTTAGTTTTCTTAGTATATTTGCACGCACACACACATACATACGCTTACATTCACAAATGCATATAATCGCTTAGCACGATGTCTTACACAATCAATAAATAACAACCATTATTATCTGTAAAAGAGAGCAGACGTGTCTTTTGTCTGAATGACCCATCAGCTATACCGTATTTTACCTCTGAGACGTCCTTAGCTCTGAAATTCTAGGACCTGGACTAAAGAGGTAGATGGGGACCCATGGTGTGAGGTCCAAGATTCCTTGTTGCTTGTGAACCCAGAATAAGAAAGTCCCCCTTTGCCGTGCAGAAGCTTTTAATTTTGATGTAGCCCTACTGGTAGCTTCTGGAACGTGAGCTGGCTGAACCCTTAATGGAGCTGCTCACAACATGCTCGTATAAAATATGAGCGCAGCCGATGGTTTCTCAAGTCCAAACATTGTGTGAGGCTTTGTTCCTTCTGCGTCGCCTCCTGTTTCCTCTGAACAATGGTTCTGATCCCTGGTTGCACATCAGAACCCGGGGTGGGGGGAGGGGGCTTTGAAAAACCTCACTGCTCGTGCTAAGCCCCAGACCAGGAGAATCAAAATCTCCAGCGAGTTTGAAAACTTCCCAAGTGATTCCATGCACAGTCAGGCTAAGCCCCCCTGGACCACCGCTCTCTACCCTCTCTCCTTGGCAAGAATGTAATTCCTCCCTTGTCAGAGTGACTTCGGAAGCCTTTTTTTTTTTTTTGATTCTTTATGATTAAGAAACCCCCAAAGTCTTTTCTTAACCAAACATCTGCCTTAATGGCTTCACGTAGATAAGACCAAAGAAGAGTTTAAATCCACCAATTTCCTGTCCTGTGGATGGCTTGATTTTCGGCAGAGTCAAGCAGCTCTGGGTTTGACCTTGGCCTCCACTATTAATGGGCTGTGTGACCCGGGGTGATGATTTCACTACTCTGAACTTAGTATCCTCTTCTTGCAAACGAGACAACAGTGCCTTGCTCACAAGGCCACTGGAGGCAGAAGGGAGGGACATTCAGTAAAGGACTTAGCCCAGGGCCCAATAAATGTACCGTAAATGTTATAGTATGCATGCCTCCAATCTGCCAGCTATGGTCAGGGGATAGTAATAACAGCAAGCGCTCTCGAAGGGTGGAATGCCTCCTCCTAGCAGCCCAGCCCTCCACCACGAATAGGAAGAAGCGAACCCCTGTCTGCATCAAGTCAGCAGCTAGGACTCACAAACACAGTAGGGTAGGCGCGACGTCCAGATGGGCGTGCCGGTCTCTCGGCTGTAGCAGGTTAGAAGAGAGCTCCCCTCCAGCACAAAGCCAGGGTTGCACGTGTATTGGATGGTGGTGCCCACCAGCAGCACGGGATCCGAAATTAAGCGGGTCGAGTGGTCCACTTCCCCGGGGTCGGTGCAGTACATAACTACGGATGAAATCAGACCAAGAGGGCGTTTAGGACGCTCGATGATCACAGGGTTTGCTGAGAACTACAGGATGATCTGGAAAGTTTCCTAACTTGGTTCTTTTCCTGTTTGGAAGATAATGCCTTTGAGCTCATCAAAGGTGGTTGGAAAAGAAACCAGGATGAAAGAGACTCGAATTTAATTCCATTTATAGGCAGTAGCCCAAAGAAATGTTTGCATCTGGACCTACATACGAGGCTGTACATTGCACCGTTATTTGTTTTTTTGTTTTGTTTTTATTTTTTTTAAAGATTTTATTTATTTATTTGAGACAGAATGAGAGAGAGAGAGAGAGCACATGAGAGGGGGGAGGGTCAGAGGGAGAAGCAGACTCCCTGCTGAGCAGGGAGCCCGATGCGGGACTCGATCCCGGGACTCCAGGATCATGACCTGAGCCAAAGGCAGTCGCTTAACCAACTGAGCCACCCAGGCGCTCCTGCACCGTTATTTGTAATGGTAAAAAAGAAAAAACAAAATGAAACAAACAAACAAACAAAAAAAACAATGCAGATCCTTTAACAGGGGAAGAGTTAAATATGGAACAGCTGTTCCATGAAATCCTGAGCAATCACCAAAGAGAGCAAAGTGAGGGGGGCCTTCGCTGCTTTCTCTGTGGTGCCTGAATCTAGTAAAACAAGCATCCGTTACTTTTCAATTAAAAAATCAATATACACAACGGGAAAACAATAAGCCAACTAAAAAAAAAAGAATGAAGTACACAACATGTGTGATATGAAAAGGTATCTGGATTACTGAGTTGAGAAAAGAGCAGTGGTAAAATATCCTTATCTGTATGTTTCTGTACGAGTGTCTCTGTGTGTCTCCACACGCACAGTAAGCACATACCTACGTCTATGTGCGTATGTGTAACACACAATGCAACTGGAACAACGTAGAATAAACTTCTAAGAGCAGCCTCATTTCCGGAGAGGAAGATCATGAGGGATTTTCGCTTTGTACTTCCTAATTTTACTACTGCTTGAGTTCTGTAAGTAAACACCTGCTACTTGCATAATGGGAAGATATATTTATGTACATCTTTTGATGTCAAGAGTGTAGTTGAATCAATGAATGAATGAATGAAAGGCATTGACGACCCCCAGGGATTTCTGGGGGGGAACCCCACAGTTCTCAAGATGTTCTGCTGTTCTCATTTCACTAGAAGAGAAGCCACTGAAGCAGGTTGGTGAGTCTCTGTCTTAGATGCAGAGCGACAGGCAACCAGCATGGGAACATAAACGCTGATATCCAGAAGGGGCCCAATGCAAATTCATTTGCTCTAATTTGGGTCTTTTCTTGGCAAAAAGTGAGGCAGTTGAAGAGTTTCCCAGAGACAGCTAGTTTATGTCCCCTCCAAGCCTTTAGAACCCATTAACACAATGGGTCATTATTATTTAAAGCATTTTAAAAATCATCATCATCATTATTATTTTATTTATTTATCTTTTTAAGTAGGCGCCACGCCCAGCATGGATCCCAATGCGGAGCTTGAATTCAGGGCCCTGAGATCAAGACCTGCACTCAGATCAAGAGTTGGATGCCTAACTGACTGAGCCACCCAGGTGCCGCTAAAATATCATTATTATTAAAAATTTTTTTAAAATCATCGTTATTCAAAAGATTTAAAAATCATTCCTCAAAAAATTTAAAAATTGTTCATATTTTAAAAATTTCAAAAATCATAATTTGAAATATTTAAAAAACATTATTATTCAAAAATTTAAAAAATCATTATTAAGGCATGTATATTTAAAACATTTTATAAAGTAATGATGGGGCTCCTGGGTGGCTCAGTTGGTTGAGCGTCTGACTTTTGGTTTTGACTCAGGTCATGATTGCAGGCTCATGGGATCAAGCCCCGCATTGGGCTCCATGCTCAGTGAAGAGTCTGTGCTTAGTCTGCTTGTCACTCTCCCTCCGCTCCTCCTGCTCGCACTCTCTCTCTATCTCTCTAAGATAAGTAAATATGATCTTTGGGGGGAAAAAAAGTAATGATGACGTAGATCATGTTAACGTATCTGCAATGGGTCTCACCATCCATGGCGCTTCTCATTGTTGGTTTTTTTATTTTTCATCATGATACACACATACACACACCCACCCACACACATGCACACACACATACACTACCCACATACTGTTGTGGAACAAGCAGATGTTTATGTAGCCAATTTTGAGGATTTTTAGCAAGCTTTTTCATGTTTCCCCCAATTATCATTTTCTTTGCCTTTGGAATATTTGTGACAGGGACTGCATATAACCCCCAGCCCCCTTCCCCAATACCCTCTTTCTCTGCTGACACTTAATATTTCTTATCATGCAACTGGTCACTCAAGGCAGGCCGAGCAGGCCTACCAAAGTATCCCCAAGGATTCCCAACAAGATGGCTGCAGAATGGAGGCTTGCGTGAGAGGAGGTAGGAAGCAAATGGTTAGCGGGAAGAGGCCAGCCTCAAATTTAGCTCCTCCCCCACCCCACTAAGATTCAGTGTAAAAGCCAGAGAAGCACCCCCTTTTCTCCCACTTTTCAAGACACCAGGCGCAGCTATCATCAGCCATGCCTGGCCCACACTCCTGAGGGCAGCAAGCAGAAGGCGCCAGGAGGCTGGGATGGGTGCTCTCTGGATGAAGCCAGCTACCTGTGACAGGGATTTTGAACCCGGGCTCCAAGGTCAAACTTAGATTGGTCTTGTGTGGCTACTATAGGTATTTTAGTGACGAATTTGAGTGATGTTTTCTATGAAGGTTTCACCGCAGTCTATACCACTCCCTATTGTCTCTCCCTCAACCTATTTCCCTCATTCACATTATCTGCCAGGCTTCTGGAGGCCCCTGAATCTAACATCCCTGCCCTAGAGCTCCAAGAGGACATTTGTGAGCTGCGCCGGCGAGCTGGTGGAGTAGGAGGGAGGCCAGATCCTACATGAAGTGACTTCACTGCATCTACTTGAAAAATACTCATTGGGAGGGATTTACCCCCCACCACCACTGACCTAGAGGAAGAAAACAAGATGACTCTTACTTTTCTCACAAAACGGGGGGTCGCTGCTCCAGCTGAGGTCCCACTGGCAGGTAAGGGTGTCACTCCCCACTATGTCATAGCCCGGGTCACACTGGTACGTGATTCTGGCTCCTCTCACAAGCTCCGTATGAGAGGTGGTTTTCCAGCCGTTCTGGATCTCCGGCAGGTCTGAGCAGGAATCATTCCTTGATACCTCTTTAAAACAAAAACATCGGCCTTAGATGAGGAGGTGGGTTTTTCTGTGTGGGGTTCCCTTTACGAATGTCAGAGGAAAGAGCAAACAGAAGAAGAAAGAAGTCTCCAGAAATAAGTAACACACTTCGAAATCCCTTAAACCACAAGAACTCTGCTATAGTGAGATTTTATGGTAAGCTCTTCCTTACCAAGCATTCTTTTGGTTTGACCAAGTCAGTTTAGGATTTAGAGAGAGACAGAATCCTAGCCCTGCCACTTATTCGCAATGTGATTTGGGGGGCAACCCCTTCTCCCTGTGTCTCAGGTCCTCACCTTTCAGGAGGCCCACCCCACCCTGTTATTCTCACCTCCTGGAATTCACATTCTTGTGTACTCCCCGCAAAGCCCAGCAAGGCTGATATGCACAATCAGCAGGCTATTGCAGAAGTGTTGATGTGTGGCTCCCGAGGCGAGGTCATAAGGGACATTGAGAAGCTCTCCCCTTGCTCTTTGGAGAGAGCAAGTGCCACCCGTGAGGATGCTCAGGCAGCCATCTGGAGCGATCCATGTGGAGAGAATCTAAGGCCTCTTGCCAACGACTGGTGTTGACTTGCTAACCACACTAGCAAGCCATTTTGGAAATGGAGCCTCCAGCCCCAGTGAAGCCCTCAAATGAATACAACCCTGGCTGACATCGTGACTACAGACTCATCATGAGAAATCCCCAGTCAGAACCATCCGGCATGAACTCCTGAATTCCGGACCCACAGAAAGTGTGTGATCATAAATATGCATTGCAGTGTGCCTGGGTGGCTCAGTTGGTTAAGTGTCTGTCTTTGGCTCAAGTCATGATCTCCAGGTCCTGATATTGAGCCCCGCATTGGGCTCCCGGCTCACTGGGGAGTCTGCTTTTCCCTCTCCCTCTGCCCCTCCCCCCAACTCATGCTCTCTCTCTCTCTCTCAAATAAATAAAAACATCTTTAGAAAAATGTGCGTTGCTAATTTGGGGGGGCATATTTTGTTATACAGCAATAGTAGCTAACACACTCAGCCTCATCCTAAGAATGTCTGTAGATTCATGGGTTTGATGGATTCTTAATATATGTTTTTGTAATACAGATTAACATAAACACTCAACTGTTGAAATAAAAATAATTATTGGTGCATTCTTTAAATCATGTTGCATATCATCAGCGAACATTAACCACACTCCAAAATAAGCTACACACAGCTCATTATCACAGATTGGAATAATCCTGTCTTCCTTCTGCAAATCCTCATTACTGAGGTAGCAATGCAAAGCCCACTATTACTGTTCTCGCTTCCAAGTGCCCACTGCACAGATTTTTAGAGGAGAGCTAATTATGCAGTATAATTAATCTGCAGTTCTTATGTGCTTCTGGGGAAAGCAAAGCACCTTCCCTGTCTGCAGGAAAGTCATTCTGAGAAACAAGCGATGGCTTTTCCTGGGATTTCATCATGATTTTATTTGGGGAATGGAAATCTCAGGGGTGTCTGCAAGAAGGAGGGGAGAGGGAGATGGCTTCTGGAATTGCTTCATGGGGAACAGGAGCCTCTATTTTTAGGCCTCTGAAAAATCAGCCAAGCCCTGGATTTAGGACACAACTAAAAATGCTTAAACTGTGGTTGAAACAGGGGTAGATAATGGGTATGTGGTCTGCCTTGTGCCAAATGCTTCGAGACTGAGAAAGGTTTGCTTGTCTGACTCTTCAGTCTGAGCCAGCATGGTGACATGCTCCCGTGGGACCCCCCCGCCTTTGTGGTGTTCATCACATTCGTGATTATCAAGTCAGGGACACTGTCACTCAGATCTTGGCCTCACTGTTTACTAATTCAGTGGCCTTGCCTAAGTCAGTTAGCTTTCCTGTTCTTCAGCTCCTAGGCTCTACTCCCAGAGACTCTGATCCAGAAATCTGTATGTTTAGCCAGCACCCTGGAGGCAGGTTCTGGCATCATCATCCTTGTGGGCCCTGAACTTTGTGAAGAATGAGAAAACTGGCTTAGGAGTTGGAGGACTTCCCTTCTGGTCATTGTTTTAGAAGCTGTGTGACTCCAGTCATGTTGATAAACATCTCTGGACATCATTGTCCTCAACCGCAGAGTTGAGACAAGAGTCATGACCCTGCCTATCGCTGAGGGCAATGTGAAAACTAATTAATGTGCAGTACATGACACTTAGATGAGTTTTATATGAATTCATTCATTTGTTTGATTAACATTTTGTGAGCACTTACTATATGCCAGGCACTGGAATATGGGGCTCTGAAGTCATGTTCCCAGTCTCATAGTCAAGATCAGCATCATGGTCCAACTTTTAGGTAAAAGAGATACCTAAATGCACTGAGTACATGCCACCATTTGCCAGTCTCATGGTCAAGATCAGCATCCTGGTCTAACTCCTGGGCAAAAGAAATACTCAAATGCACTGAGTACATGCCACCATTTACTGGCCTTATGCTCATGGCAGACCTCATCCTAGGAACTACTGTCATTTGAGTGGAGTTGACCTACCATAAGGAGCTTACTTATTATCCTAGCATTAGAGGAACAGGCACACAAGTGACCAATATCTCTTTGAAAAACACTGCTTGGGCACCTGGGTGGCTCAGATGGTTAAGCGTCTGCCTTTGGCTCAGGTCATGATCCCAGGGTCCTGGGATCGAGTCCCGCATCGGGCTCCCTGCTCAGCGGGAAGCCTGCTTCTCCCTCTGCCTCTCTCTCTCTCTGTCTCTCATGAATAAATAAATTTAAAAAAATCTTTAAAAAAAAAAAGAAAAACCCTGCTTGCTCATCTCTGCTTTTTTATTCCCTTACCTCCATTCCCTTGGCCACAGACACTGACAAAGCACAAGGAACAATGAGGAAAATGGTTCTTTGCTTCTGTCTGGGTAAAGCAGAATTATGGGAGGTCAGAACCAGGTAAGCCCAGAGTGTTCCTATGGAAGGTTCTACCAGTAGTCCTAGCAGATTAGCCTTGGCCACATTGCAGAGCTGGGTGTCGGCCTTGAGATCATTTTAGGAGCTTCAGAAATCTCCAGATGACCACAAAACCCCATGACCTTTCCATGTGATCTCTCTGCTCAATGAGAATTGCATCTGTGTCTGGTTAAATCCCTGGGTCCTGGTGCCTGGTGCAGGGCCTGGCACGTGTGAAGAGACTCTTGCGGACCAAACTCTCTAGAAAATGGAGATATGCATTTGAAGATGAAAGAAAACAATCTATGGAAGAGTTCCTGCCAATTTCAAATTGTCACACAAGTCTAAAGTTTCAGCTTCAATAAAGAGGAGCAAGTCCTCTTTAAGATGGCGCCAAACTGAATGTTGGCCAGACTTCTGGGTTAACCTTAAGCAGCCTTGGATAGGGTCAGATTTCTGTCACTGAGCTGAAATGGGGTTTCAGAGTGTTATTACTGCTGAATGGGGTTTTGGAAGACTGACTTAGACACCAGAGGAGACAAATGAGCAAAACTATGACATCATCTTCCGACTAGGAGGCGGGGGGGCAGGGGAACGAAGAGAAGTCTAAGGAGAGAGACTGAAGCCAAGTCACCAGAAACTCTCCCTCCAAAGGCAGCTGACTCTGGACGGCATATCGCCTGGGCAGCCAGCACAAACCGTCCCCCTGTGCCCAGGACCCTGCCCAGTAAAGAGAGGGGAACCCACAGAAAGTAGCAGCAATAACACTCTGAAAACACTTAACAGCACAATCAAGGGGAAAAAGGTCCCCAAGAAACATAAAAAAGATCAACACTCGTGTGTGTCCCTCTGATAGATGTACACAGAGTGGGCAGGGATGAGAAACGTCTACCAGCTGGAAACACACACACAAAAAGGCAAAGGACTTATTTTCACATGCATATGGCTCTTTGAGACAGCCAAAGGTCAGGGAAGGGGCTTCTATTTTAGAGGCAAGAGGTGGGACACAGAGAATACTTTATATTAGAGATGGATGGGCAAGTCCTCAAGCCAGGGGGAAGAAGGAATCACAGACACGGAATTTGGCTCAAGCCAGACGATCTTTGAAGGTGGGTGTGGTAGGGGGGGACTTGGTAGAATGAAACCCCCCTTTTTCCCCCTTTTTCCGTCCTGAAAATCAAGATGTCTGCCTCGTTCCTGGGTGACCCAAGCAAGTTCTCTGATTGCTGGCTGAATCTTGCCCATTGAAATCCTCAGGGTGCAACCACCCACCATCTTGGGTGCCAAAAGAGGTGAGGTCTTAAGTACCCCCTTGTGTCTCCCAAGTTCTCTGCTGTTGCCAAGAAAATCAGGGGTAGAGAAACACTAAGAGCCAGGGGAACCAGGAAGCCCGGGTGTGAGCCTCAGGGTCTGCCCCCAACGAGCAAGTCCTTTATCCTTGGTGGCCCAGGGCTCCTTCTGCTGTGACATGATAGGGTTGGAGCAGAAGCTTTGTCAGTTCAAATCCTTTTCAGGGCTGGGATTAGTGGGACTTCACAGCGGTCCCCGGGCTGCTGGTGGCAGAAGCAGTTGGGTGGGGGTGGGGGTGGGGGTGAGGGTAGGGACAGAAGGAGTTCTGTTTGGGCCATGTTTAATCTGAGATGCTGGTTAGACATGCAAGAGGGTAGTTAGCAGGGATTTGGGTAGAGAGTTCATGGGAGAGGTCAAGGTTGGAGGTACAAATTAGGGGCCAGTAGAACACAGAGAGGCATTGTATAGAACCTCGGGACTGGAGGACAGTGTATGGGGGGAGAGTCTAGACAGACAGAGGACAGGGCTCAGGGTGGAGCCTGGGATTCTCCAGTGTTCCGAGGAGGGTGACGGAGCCAGCAATGAAGAAGGGGGAGTCACAGGTGGGGAATGAGGAGGGAAGGCTGCGGATGGAAGAAATGGTAAGAAGGTGTTGGATGGCCAAGTGTGAACTTGGCTTGAACTTCATAGCAGTTGTTTTGGGTTTTGTTTCTGTTTTAATGTGAAGGCGAGAGAAATGGTTTGGAAGCCACATCGAAGAGCAAGGAAGACACCGCTTGCTTCTCTGGGTCCTACAGTACAGGAGGTGGGAGAGAATGTGTGGTCTCCATTGGATGGGGCTACAGGGGAAGAAGAGCCCCTAGGCAGAGCCCACCTTCAGTTCAGGCAAGATGGCGGAGATGCTGTTTTGAGAGGTTGCAAATGCAGGAGAGTGTGCTGATGATGGAGTCCCAGTTGACTGCAAGGGAAACACTGCGGATCTGAAAGTCACGAGGCATCATATACTAAGTCCTGGTATCGACCCTTTGGAGCAGCTATCAGTTTTTCCACTTTACAGATGACAAAAAGGAGGCTCAGAGAGGTTAAGTGACTTGCCCAAGATCACACAGCCATTGATAGCAGTATTAAAACTCAAACCCTGGTGCTTCCGACCAGAGAGCCCAAATGTTTAAAAACTACACATATTTATTGTGCCAATAAATTAGAAGACTGTGCCAATATATTAAAAGACCCGTATAGCACAGAACCCTCCAAAAGACATATCTAGAAGGAACCATCTAAACACACACACACACACACACACACACGGACTGGAGGAGACACTTACCTACGTAGTTCATGATAAATCCCTGGCCTTTCCCAAAGATGAGACCAGCAGGGTCCGAGTGGAACTGGATGGTTAAGTCCGGCGTGGACGAGTACAGCTTCTGGGGACCACTGTTCCCAAGGTACTGCCCCAAGATGTGAGGCATGACCTCATCGCCATCATAGATAGTCAGGATGTCGCTGTTGCTCAGGTTCAGGCTGGGGGGCGGGGCAGACAGAATAGGAGGGGTCTTGTGAAACACAGTTATGGGCATTCAACAAGCCTTTGATTTATTTTTTCAGGCAACACACAGGTTTGTGAGGTATACTTGGTGGCAGGCTCCAGGCTAGGAACCGGGGTTGAGGTAGGCAGAGACCACAGATATGAGCAGGACACGCTGATCCTGCCCACGAGCGCGCATGGCACTGGGTTTGGGGAGGGACTGGGCTTTTGAAGACTCACGCAGGAGATGGTCTTCCCTACAAGGAGCTCATTGCACGGTTGAATGCTGAATTGTAAGTAGAACTGCCTTCAATGCCAGTGAAGCTGAGTGCTGGGCCCTGGGCTACCCGCTGGGGGTGTGGCATGGGTCTTCCATTCTTCTCGGATGCAGAACAAGCTGACTGCATTCTAATTAGAACCTGCATCTTCATGTCAGGTGAAATAAGCCTTCCAATCATTATGTGGCAAAGTCCTCAAAATCAAACCCGGGTATCTATGATGTTTAGGAGATGGGGCGGAGGGCGGGACGGAGGCATCTTATTCCTGAAATATGCTCAAACCTGTTATCAAAATTCGTAACATGAAAGGACGACCCATTACCAAAGGCTGGAATGCAGGAAAGCACCTTGACACTAAATATCAGGGCTGCAATGGACAGTTAATAATCCGGAGAGCACTTCCGTGTGCTGCAGACACATGTGTCATGTGAGGTGTGCTAGATGAAAATTGACCTCTGATTGAAAGAACGAAAGATAAGTCAGCATTGGCTGCCGACAGATATTAACTCATGCCTTTTTTTCCTTCCATTCTCCTTCCCTCTCTCTTATGTCTTTCACCTTTTCTTGTGTCCTTCTCCCTAATATTTTTGAATACCTCCTATCTGCCAAGCTTGTGTCAGGGGACACAAGAATCTCAGAGCAGTGGTAGATTTAGACTAGGAAACCAGGGATTGCGGTAGCAATTACGATCCAGGCGAGTGCAGAGGGAGGAGACTGGGGGGCATCCTGGAGGCCCTCCTGGAGGAGGTGATGCCTGCTTTGGATTCTCAGGAAAGATTAGAGGGCTAGAAGGTTGATAAGCAGGGGGTGGTGAGATGGGAAAGCACAGGCAGAAGGAGATAGGGATGGAGATCTTGGCTCCTAAAGGAACTTGCCCAGTGGTCAGTGATCCTCGGCTGTGGGTATAGACATGGAAGCCTGGAGGGCTGTAGGAGCCAGACCCTGAAGGGCTTAAAGAGCCAAGTTTATGTGTTTGGATGTCATCTTGCTTGGGATGGGAGCAGACAGACACTGTCTGAGGAGAGGCATTCCAGGAACTGGCCTTAAGCGAAGTTCCTAGAACTGATGCAGAGTGCTGATAGTCCTCCCTCCTGACAGCGTCATCCAGTACCCCAGAACGGTGTTCTCCTTCCCCAGTCTGGGAGGGCAGAGGAGGGGTGGAAACCACCCAAGCCCGTGCTTCCTTCTGGTAGTAAGAACAAAGCAACAGAAACACAAGGAACATTGTGGAAGGGTGGCTCCCAGAGGGCAGGGGATGTATTGTATTCACAGTGATGTCCTCCGCAGCACCTCTCATATTCCTCATGTAAAGTTGTCCCAAGGGCCGGCTTAGGGAGATTCCAACAGCCCCCATGGCCACCATCAGCTTCCCTTGCACCACCCCCAAAACACCCTCTCCTAACAAAAGCTATCCGCTGGTTTTGCATGTGTGGCTTCAAGACCGAGCCCCTAGAGTCGTACCCTCTGCCAGTTTCCGCGAAGGCTACAGCCTCTAAACCCTATTGTATTGAAATTCTGGAGTTGCCACCTTCTCTTGCACACCTTAGGTGCTCGATAAATGCTAAGGTATGAAAGAGCCTGCCAGAGAGTCTATTTGACAGCAGAAACCGTGCAGTTGAGGTCAGCTCTTGACCTGTGATAGGGAAGAGCCTCTTAACTCTAAGACCATGAAAACATCAATCGTTCGCGAAAGCGCTGGATTAGGCTGGTGTGAAACATGGTAGATTGCCAATATTTATTTCTTAAGCTGACTTCACAGCTGATCTGCTGGTAATAGTGAGTTCCAGAGAGTCTGCAACTTGGCTTTACCCTATCAGTCATTTCAATGATCTAAATGCAGCACAAGCATCTTCAAGGGGGCAAATAGCTTTCATTTGAAAACCCTAGCATGGCTCTTTGTAAAGTAGGAAGTAGCAGAGTGCGCTGCCTTGGAAATCAGCAAGCTCTGGTTTGATTCTTGGCTCTGATACTTGCATGGAGGGTACCAGTTTTTTTGTTTTTTTTTGTTTTTTTGAAGTTCCTTGTCTGTGAATTTCCAGTCTATGTCATGGGCTTTCGGAGTGAGGTAAGGCATCCTGAAAATCTGGGACCAAACGCAAGATGCACTGACAGCATCTGAGCAAGTCTGGTCAAGTCATTCGAATGTTATGTCGTGTCACTGTGTCGTTATGAACATCACCACCACCACCACCGCCATCATCATCATCCTTACCATCATCATGGTTGCCATGATCACGCTCTCTTTAGAACGCTGTTTACACCAAATGACATCAGATGACTTCCATCAGTAGTTCTCAATTAGGGGTGGTTTTTTTTCCCCAGGAGACAGTTAGTCATGTCTAGAGACATGGTTGTCCCAACTAGGGGGGGTGCCACTGGGGACGCGATGACAGGGATACTGTTAAACATCCTACACTGTGCAAGATAGCCTCCCACTACAAAGAATTATCTGGTTGAAAACGTCAATTGCACTAAGGTTGAGAAACACTAGCTTATGTGAATGCCTTTTGTAAACCGTGTGTAACAGACTATTCATTGTAACTTCTATTGTCCTGGGATTTCTGCAGAGGTCCCCTAAGCTAAGAATAAGCAAATAGCATTAGAAAAAGCATTCTTACTTTTTTAAAGGGCTATCTGGTCAGGTTTTCTCGTGAGAAGGAAGCAGCCCACCCAGCCCCTTCCCACCGCAGAATTCCCAGCCCGAGGAGCCCTGTGGAGGGTGTGGGAAGTTTGAAAATGAATGAGGTTCAGGACTCTGTGATTAGTAGACTAAGCCACACTTGTTAGGACCAGAAAACCTATAAAAATGAAGCTTCCACCTGAGAAGTAAAAAAAAAAAAAAAAAAAAGTAGACCATGAATGAAGGAGCAGTGAAAAAATGAGGTTATTCTCTGCCGAATCCTTCTGGATCCACCTTTTTGGTAGATGGGTTCCACCAATATATGCAAATGCTGGTAAGTGATCCCCTGCTCGTCTCTAAAGACAAGCCTGCATTTAGCCCGTCCGTCCAGCGTATTTGATACACCAGGGGCATCCAGGGTCCCTGCCGCTGGACCGTCCACAGCAACTGAGATGAAAAATGCAGACTTAGCAGCCCAGAGACTGGCCTGGGGCCGAGCAGGGGCTTTCCACTGAGGACCCGAGTGAGATGTTGACCAGAGACCATCCAGGGAGGCGCTGAGAAGTCAGGATGTCAGCGTGACTCCAGAACAAAGGGGAGGTGGACAGGTGCCGGCAGGCAGGTGGGTTTGATGGGACTGGAATTGGGTGTAGCAGATCCCCCTCAGGGAGGATGCCACAGGGCCAGTCCCTGCCGGCTCCAGCCCCTCTCTGCTGCCAGAGGGTAAGGCTTTCCTGGAGCTCCTGCCAGGAGACCTCAGCTTCTGGGTCTCCTTCTTGCCCTGTCTCCTCGGCCACTGCCCTTAGTTTTTCTCCATCCCTTTTCAGTTGGACTGTGGGATAGCACCTCCTTCATGGCCCCAGTCTCTCTCCTCCGCAGCCAGATGAGTCCTTCTGAAACATCAATCTGGTCCCCTCACGGAACAGATGAATGGAGAAGCAAAATGCGGTGTATCCCTACAATGGACTATCATTCAGCCACGAATAGGAAAGAAGCAGACACATGCTATACTATGGATGAAACTTTGACTTTGTGCGGAGTGAAAGAATCCTGTCCTAAACAGCCACATGGTGCATGGTGCCACTGCAAAGAAATCCCCGGAATAGGTAAAGCTATAAAGACAGAAGGCCACTTGGTGGTTGCCAAGGGCTGGGAGGAAGGGTCTGGGAGGAACAGAGACCGCTGACTTAACAGGTGTGGGGTTTGTTTTGGGGAGGATGAGAGGGCTTTAAAACTAGATGGAGGTGTTGATTGCACAACATTGTGAGTGTACTAGATGCACTGAACTGTAGAAGTTAAAATGGTTAAGGGCACGTTATGCAAATTTTACTTCAATTACAAAGACATTGCACCTCATCTCAGGGTAAAGTGCAAAGTTTTGACCCTAGCTTCAGGGTTTCCCTGTACCTATTTTCTGCACCCCCTTACCTCCCCACAGCTTCATCCCTCACTATCTCTTTCAACCCCGATATTTTACACTCCAGACAGAATCAATTACTCGTCAATCTCTCTCCAAGGAATGTAGAAGCACCTGCAAGGTTTTCCACAGGCCATTGTCCCCTCTAGCCTGAATCCTTATTTAGCCTTATGGCTGTAGACCTGGGTAACTCCTCCCCTCCTCATCTCCATCACAGTCTTCTGTGATTTACTCATACATGGAGCCCTCTCTGCCCCATCTGAGTCTGGGCTGGGGGTCCCTTCTGCGCTCACCCCTCCTACGGAGCTCAGCACGCGGCGCTCCAATGGTCTGGGGCATCTGCACCAGACCAGAAGCTCCCCGAGGCCAGGGGCAAGTCGGTCCAGCTCACTGCAGTCTGCATCCCCAGCTCGGCACCGGGCTGAGTGTGTGTTGGATGAATTAGCACCAGCCCAGGGGCAAGTGTCTGGATCTGAGCTTCAGCTCCCACCCAGGGTGGGCTGTAGCTCTGACCTCATCTCTGCCTGGGACCTTGACCCCAAATGGTCTTACTTGCACCAAACTTGGAAGGGGAACTCTTCTTGTCCTGGCTGCTTTCAGCACTTGCCTCCACAGGTTAACTGGGAAGCTCTAGTTCTAGACTGGAGCTGCCTCAAATGATTTCTGCCCCATCAGCTTCCT